TCAAATAAATGTGGTGTAGGAACTAGAAGAGGAACCACTGATATGCCTCTTCACTAAATGGTATCTTATTCTCCCCCTAAAGAGAGCAACCATGACCAGTAGATGAGAAGAAGGGAACATAGTCAAAGAAAATAACATCCATAGAGACATCATGGATTTTGTTAGTAGGTTCAAGAACACTTGAATCCCTTTTGATGAGATGGATATCCTAGAAAAACACATTTGATGGCTTTAGAATCAAGTTTGTCCGTCTTCAAATCAAGGATGTGTACAAAAACATATGCAACCAAACACTTTGGGAGGTACAGAAAATAAAAGAGAGTTTAGACGAAATAATTTCAGCAAGAGACTTGCCCTCAAGAATGCGAAAGGGCATGTGATTTATTGGAAAGGCAGCAAGGAGAACCCCTACAGACCAGAAAATTTTTGGGAACTTCTTTCCTAGCAAGAGAGCTTCGGGTGATATCCAACAAGTGCCTATTTTTTCTTTCAGCAATGCCATTTTTGTTGAGGTGTGTACAGACACGTTGCTTGGAACTAAATCCCTTGATAGATAAGGTAATCTCCGATTTGGTTTGACACATACACCCATTGTTAGGACATAAGACTCTAATTGTGCATCATATTGAGTTTTAATGTGATAAACATGAAATGGATTAGCAACTTCATCTTTGTGTTTCATTAAATAAATAGTTGTTAATCTAGAACAATCATCTGCAAATGTAACAAATGCTGGAAACCAAGCACAGAGGCAACTGGAGAAGGAATATCAGCCTTTTTATTAATGTTGAATGGAAGTGAACCTCTATCATGTCTTTACAACTCACAAATATCACACTGAAATTGCACTTAACCCAGAGCTTCAAACGTTTTTTTTTGGGTAAGCAAGCTTCAAACCTTTTTGGAAATAAAGAACGCAATGTAAAAGACGACAAATGACCTATACCTGTGTGCCACAAATACACCATTTCTTTATTAGCTAATGAAGATATGGCAGCAGTAGCCAAGACTCCATCTGGAGTCTCAAAAAGGTACAACCCTCCATCCTCACAACTACTCCCAAATGTCTTCCTAATCATCATGTCCTAAAAGAAACAATGGGAGGGAAAAAAGGTTACGCTGCAGTTTAAAGTCCCTGTGAAATTACCAACAAGAGTTTACTAGAAAGATTGGGAACACACAAGGTGGAGGACAAGTTCACAGCAGTACCAGACAGTTCCCTTTCCCTTGATTGGAATAAGAGAACCAAATGTTGTTTTAATAGATTCTTGATTAGAACAAAGAATATAAGAAGAAAAAAGATCAGCCACACCAGTTATATGTCCAATAGCTTCGGAATCAATAATCTAAGGGATTTTAGATAAATTTATTGAGGCTTGATGAGCTGATGCAGATGTACCTCATTAGGCAATATGAGACTTAGAGGAAGGAGGGTCCCGAATGGAAGCTTATTGCATGAGATGAAGGAGCTCTCTTTAGGAATAGTTACCAACTCTTCTTCAGGTTCAAAGTAAGTAGCATCTTGCCCATGCATAGAAGAAGCAGCACCTTCACTAATTGTTGCTCAATTTGCTTGACAAAAGTTAATGTCTAGGGTGTCCAACCAGATCCCAACATGTATCCCTTGTGTGTCGAGTCTACCCACAGTGGGTGCACTTTAACTTGTCCTTCTCATCAATGTGGGGCTTCCACAATTATGTCTGTCACCACGGCCTTCACCTCTACTCCCAAAACGTCATCCACCATGATTACCACTTGAACTTGAGAGTAGAGCATATCTATCTTTTTCACCTATAGGCACTGACATTCTCTTGCAAAGAGTTTCCTCACACTGAAGAATTTTTAATTATTTCCAACAAAAAAATCCAGATATAAGAGCATCATGGATCCTACTGCACCCTAAAGAATAATATGAAGACACAACATTGAAGAATATACTGCTCCTCTCCAACATATACTATAGAAAACAGCCACAAGAACATCCCTCCAAAGAATATGAAAAAGCAATCATTGGGTAGTGCCAACTACAAAAGCATGGTGCTCAATAAATCCCAGAGCCTAACTTGGACTAGGCATCCTGCTGAGTTAGAAAGGATCCCAACTCCTTGGCGTACTACTGTAGCAAAAACTTGCCTGAGTTACGATAAGCAACGCAAGCTGGTTTTGTGGACTCGGCAGAAAACCTGGAACTCTGCAAATAAAACAAATAAATATATCTGGATTTCTCTTTGCACTAGGACTTGGACGACATTTGTTTTCTCACAAGATTTTCACAACCGAAGCTCAATCCACACTGAAATTTCTTCCCTAATGTTCTTTTTTGTAATCTATCTAATCCAACACATAGATTCCACATAAAACCTCAAAATTTCAGATTTGCAACATATTGAATGCCTACATACTGTTTCACAGGAATTTCTATTGCATGTACACCAATAAAATCGATTTTTCAACATTTTAAAGTTTAACTTATAGGCTTTCTTGTCTTAATGGTTTTCTTTTTTAAAATAAAAAAAAAATCTGATCAACATATTTTTAGTTTTCTGTATTTCTTGTTTTCCTGAATTTTCCCAAATTCTTAGGGATTTTTTGTCCTTTTCCTTGTTCTCAGACAAGATTTGGCAAGTCCATTGGAGACTTCCTGAGTTGACTCGCTCCAGGCACCCCCCATGTCCTGGATTGTGTGCGGGTTACAAAGAATCATTCCAACAAAACAGACATCAGTCAATGAAAACTGATGAGAGTTAGGAACACCATGTTGACAAGACAGTGATGAAGGTGATCCACAGTATCTCTGTCTCACAGCACAGAACACAAAAGTTCGAAAACTCAAAACACAATGTGGTGATGTTAACCAACACCACATGATGGGCAGCAAGTCAGTCAAAGACATTTCTCATAGAAGCGTGGCACAAACTGAATGCCAGCAGCGAGACATGAAGAGACTGAAGGACCAAAGGACAGTCTGGGGCAACACTACCAATAATAACCCAAACAGTATTCATAATAAAATATTAACCAATCCTCACTCCTTCAAGATAGATCAATTATGCTTCTTTTTGCACTGGAATCAATTGGAGGAACAACTATTTGTGAAAGGGAAAGGTTTTTAGACAACTATTGTTTTTGTAACTTGAAAAAAGTCAATATTGTGAGATAACACGAACTCCCATTAATCCAATCGCAGCATGAGGTATTATAGCAAACCAATTCAAAGAGAAAGCAATGATACAAGGAAATGCAAGCATCTGGGAATGCATGCAGACAATAGCCCTTAAATGCTGCTAAAGCAAATGTACTTGGAAGCATTTAGAAAAAGCACTCATAACAAAAATCTAGTTTACTAAGGGCTTGTTTGCAGGGGTGGCAACGGGGTCGGGTATGGGTCGGGTCCCGGTGAACCCGGACCTGGACCCACAACATTACTTGTGGACCCGTACCCGGAACCTACCCAATGAGTCCAAAAAAATAATACCCGAGAGGGTACCTAAGGACCTGAGACCCGGACCTGGACCTGGACCTGGACCCGAGCTTTACAGCTTTCACTTATGGGTTTATGTGTTTGATCATAAGTTCTCTTGCCTCCTTTATAGGGCTTACACCCCCGTAACTCTATTTATCTCTTCGATGTGGGATTAATCCCACATACGTGTGGAGAGAGGGGTAGAGTTCGAGAGAGAAACAAGTATTATATTCATTTTCTCAAAAGAGAATGGGCATTTTCGCTATTATAGTGCGTGAGCTATAATAGGCAGTTTCAACTTTCAAGTCAGATTGGCATTTTGGAGAGTGAGCTATAATGGTCAGTGTCTTGTTGTCCAAGAAACATGGTGGCAGTGTCAAGCCATATTGGCATTTGTGGATTTTATTCATTTTGACAGATCAGTCGAAGACTTTTTGGCTTCCAAAAATACGGAGATTCAGGGATTGGCCTGCTATTTCACTGCATTCATTCATACAAATTGTCCTCGATTTCACCAAGTCATGCAATGGAATTTAAGAGACACCAAGGCAAGAAGTCGTTGTCTACTCGATTAATGCAATTAAACTCCATAGGTGGGAGGGGTTACAGAGAGAGAAAACTGTTGTTGGGGAAATCTTTTTGTCCCACATCAAAAAGAATTAGAGAGGTAACGTGAGGGGATTTGCTATAAAATGAAGGATAGGTTTCACAAGGGGTGAGAAACTTTGGGTCCCGGGTCGGGTATGGGGTGGGCCCACTAGTACCCGGACCCGTACCCGAGAATTTTTGGGTCCATTATGAAGGACCCGGACCCTACCTGCGGGTCCAAGGTTTGGACCCATACCCAAACCCATGTCGGGTATACCCGGCAGGTCCTGGGTCGGGTCTGGGTCTGGGTCCATTGCCAGCCCTATTTGTTTGGACAACAATTAATCTTATTGAGAAAAGACTATCTTACCTGAATTAATATATTCTATAACATATTATTTTTTTAGCTGTTTGGTACATATCTTATGTTATATGTGATATTAGTTTATTATTTAACTCTTTGGTGATTTCAAGCTGATTTTAACTACTTCCAGCTTAAAAAAACTGAGAGTTTCAGCAAGTTACTTTGAATATAAGTAAACACTACTTTTCAAAAATGCAAACTTATATGTAAACTACCTATAATTTTATATCACTTTAAATTATGAGGAATACTGCCAAACAACAAATAATTCATTATCAAGATTAATTTTATTGAAATGGTGAATTATCAGTGATAATGAGCACAAAACAAGCCCTAAATTGCACAGCTCATAATTATTCTATCCGCAACTACCAAATTCAAAATGTATCACAAATTTATGGCTCCAGACAAAATGAGATCAATGGCAGAAAAAAAAAAAAATTGTAATCTTGTAGTAACAATAGTCAATTTTTGATAAAATGCACAAAGAGAAAATTTTCTTTCCAATAAAATATGAAAATGCAAAGAGTTTCATGAAGCTGGTAGCAAAGTTCTTAGTGGAAAATTCTCACTAGCATTAATTACCTGGTGGAGTCCCACAACAGAGGCTCCGGTCATCAATATGTTCAACATCCAGTCCAATAAACCAGGAACCCAAGGAGACATCCTCATTCGCATACCTGTGTAAAATAGGTCTGCAAAAAAAATCCAGCAGATCCTTAGACTAAATCTAGATATAATAAGAAATTGATGATTCATGATTAAGGCTCGGTAGATTTTCCGTTCTTTTTTTTATTTAAAGGGCCACCTGTTAATTGATATATAGGTTGCTAGGTCCTTGGAGATCGCATATAGTTGTCCTGTTGCATGACGAAAATATTTGTTTCCTTCCTCACCAAATTTCCAATATTCAGGTTCATGGTACTTAACTCCTCTGTGACAGACAGAATAAGATTATTAAATTGTTTATTAATGGTCCCCAATCAATCCACTGAGATGGACAACCACTGCATCAGAATATATAAAGAAAAAAACTAAAAGATTTCCTACTCCTGTAGGAGTATACCATCCACTTACTCCCTCGGGTACAACACATGCTAGGAATACCTTTTGGATCTCAAATTTGGGGATGTAATCTCTACAACCAATAAACTAATCTCAATAAAAAAAATTCTGAAATAAACTTCAATGTACTAAAAAATAATGCCTCAAGATTGAATAAAGACTGTCCAATTTTCTAAGTGTCACAAAACTCAAAATTCAAATTTTGTGTTTCGAAAATAATCATCAAGTACTTCTTATGTGGTCCTAAAATTTTAGACTAACATAATCTTTCTTGGTAGGTGTCTTATGCGAGGGAGTAAACACATGGTATGATCCAACGGGAGCATAGTATACGTGCTCAAGAAAAAGAGCACCATAATTGGATGGTAGCACAATGGACTATAACCATTGGCGTCATTTTCATCCATTAAAAATGAAAATGGGTACCTATGCCCATTGGTATCAGTCTTTCTCCATCAATGTCCTTCATTACATAGGCATTGATAACCCTGATGGAATATAGTTTTACACAGTACATTGATTGGAGTAAATCTCCTCATAACTACAAATATCATCCCTGCACATAACAGTTACACGACTCAAATGACTTACTTTTGTGCCAGAACTGGTCCAGATTTCATACAGCCCATATAAACACGAGGTTTTGACCTATGGCGTGCCAGTGTAGATGCCATCATACCTGATTAGATATGCTATTAGGCAAAATTCAAGTTGACCTGCCAAAGTGATTTCACAGAGAAAAGAAAACAGAATAACTGACCAGGATTGACATGTACATCATCATCAACTTTAATGTAGAAATCGGCATCCCATTTTGCAACAGCAGTTGAAAAGTATATTTGGGTCTTTGAAGACAATTCATGGTACCCTTCAATGTGGTTCTGCAAAAGAAATGATCCCAATCTGCATAAAGAGCTTCATATTACCGAAATTGACATCAAGGAGATCAAAAGATATTAATTATTTAACAATCGAATGACATTCTTTCATTGAATTCGCAATCTAGTGACCCTTAGGATGCTGTAAGTCTAGACACACCAGCCTAAGAAAATCCTGATGTTGCTCCTCCTCAGCCTCAATGGCACGGTCCAGCACACCCCCTGGAGTTGCACTGCATTACATGAAGCTGTTGATGAGTATTGATCAATGTCATTACAAATGGACTGGACAGCACAGTTTGTTCAGGTCTCGCTCCCGACTACACTTAAAAGCAGTTCACTATTTTCTGCATGTTTGATAATTTAAATAATTAGAACTCTATGATATTAATAAATTAAGCAAACACTAAACAGTGTCAGGTGGTTACCAACTCTCTTTAAAGAGAGGTGTGATGGGATCTCTTTCCTATGCCTACCTCTCCATGGTATTTCTAAAACCAATTTTTCTTTTTCTTTTTTTTATCTTGGAATTTAAATAACATTACTTTAGAGAAAGAAAAAATCACAAAAACCACTGATTGGTTCCTCAACCAGCTGTTTAGGGGGCAAAACACAGTCGCACCCCATGCAGTCAAGAGAGAACCAGGTAGAACAGTCAAGAAGTATAGCTCATATAGCCATAACCATTTCAATATGAATGATGTGGTTTGAATGAAACAACCTTGATATATGTCCTTTGCAATATACAAGGACAAGCCAAAATTCACTGGTACAGCAAATCAAATGCAACTACAGTAAACTGAAAGAAGTATACGAATAAGACAAGAACATTCTTGTACGTTCATATTATACCTGTGGCCGATAACAAATCGAATTACAATTCCCTTTTCTTTCTCTAACTGGAGTAGCTTTTCTCCTACAAATGATCAGGAAAAAAGAAAAATCAATAAAAGATAAAGCTTCCATAGTGTGACCTTGGTGAGGTAAATGTCATTTAACTCGTAAAGCTTATCCCACACCTTGAGGCATCCAAGTTTCTCGAATAGAGTCCCTACGCTTTCTGCTGCTGAATGCAGTAATGATTCCCATGACAAAGAAAACCTTTTGCCGCTCCTTTGATTGTTCGACTCCTGGCTTTATAGCTTCTGGAGAACCACCAAGCTTAATTTCTTGTGCAGCTCTAGCTGCTGCTAACTCCATCTCTAAAGTGGAGATGGTTTTGTCTAAAGTCCTGAAATTATCAATCGTGAGGGCCACCACTAAAGAGAAAGAGATCCCATAATTCAAGTTAGGGAAAGTACATTAAAGTAGAATACAGGGACTACGGAAACACATAGTCCATTGGGTGTATCACCGTCCAATGAAATGGAAGGTTATGGAGAGAGTGGGACCCACAATTGGGGGTGTATAGTGGTAATGTGGGTCTGACTCTCTCTGCCACCTCCATCATTTCAAAGGATGGTGATGGCTCCCAAGGGACCATGGTTTTCAAGAGTCGGTTGTTACATTGGATGGTTTCCCCTTAAGCCATTCGCTTTCAAGTTGATCAAAACAGATAAACACACTACATCTGCAGGTGAATAGATATGAGATTTTACATGATCACATCATGCGTCTTTGAAACTTGACTGAGGATATCTCCAGTCCTAACGGTATCTTCCTAACAAAATGATGGAAAGTACAATCAACCCCAAAAAGAAAGCTAACAGAAAAGAAAGCTCTGGACAGATCTAGGGAAAAAAAATGCAAAGAAAAAGGAGAAAAGATTGATGATGGATCTGCTCACAGATGTTATTTGTAACTTACATTCTTTTGTTCACATCCAGTAATTAAATTCAGGCCGCTCTCCTGGTATGCTTTCATAGAAGATGCCTTCTCATTTATTTTCACAGGATCAGGAAAGCTCCAGATCCTATAAGTAAGTGTCAGTCAGCAAGTGATGGATATATAATTATTTTAAATATATACTATATAAATGAGACTCAAAATGAGTGATGAAGTTGGACACATGCTAGGAAAAGCATATGGTTTACTGCATGTTGCCAAACAAGACGCATCAGAAATTAATAGAACACAAGCATGTGGTAAGCATAAAAAGAAATCATAAAGGTCTGAAAGTTATACAAAAACATAGCAAATTTCAGAAATATGATCAGTGTTAGAGGAACATAATCTTCTTGCCAAATGAAAAGAATTCACTAGATAAATACAGACCTCAGGTCAAGTAATGTATGCCAAAAACTCAAAATGAAGTCTCAATATATAAATGGGAAATGATAGCATGCACCACAAAGGTCGCCAAAAGATGCCTCGCAACCTCAAAAACACTTTTGCGGCTTGTGCGCACCAAAAAAAAGAAAAATTTCAATCCTCCTTAAAATCAATATCCCCTATGTTTGATTTAGTTTGGAGCTCCAAAAGGCCTTCAAATCTCCTCAATCTATCATCTATTGAAATGGACGACCCAGATTTTATTTTAGAGTTACAATGGATTTGGGACATTATTCTTTTTTTATTGGAATTGTTTTTGGCACGTGAGAGAATAATTTGGAACGCTTTCAGGTCCTTGGTGACCCGAATGCGCGCCATCATTTCTTTTTATTTTTCAGAAGTATGGAGCTCTTTAATGCAAGCCAGCTGTGATCAGCAAATTTCAAGTCCAACATCCATGGCTTTAGAGGAATTTTTGGTCACCGATTGCTTGAGAAAACCAGTAAAGAGGATTCTTAGCATATAGGGCTGACAACATCATTTCTGAAGTGGGCTCATAATAGTGATTTTGACATTAGAGCAAAAAATTATGCCCCAGCGAAATAGGGGTTTATTTTTCAGGACTATTTTTTGGATGAGTTTGTCATATTTTATTTTGCTAATTTGGGTTCAATTTTAATTAGAAGTTCCAGTAACATTAGAATTAGGATTGGGGAGGTTCAAATTCTTCCTATAATTCGGGGTTTTGAGTTAGGATTTTAACTTGAATTGATTATCGGAATATTGTTTTTGGAATTCTGTTAAATTCCAGAGAGCTGTTGATGCCAAGCTTGTTAGCTTCCTTTAATTTTCATTCAATTTCAATCAACACGTTATTTCTTTGATGTTTTTCTATTCGAACTTCACACTCATGATGCATGGCAAGGAGAAACAGAGGAACAAATCAACATCAAAAGGTATTTTGCAAGAAACAGAAGAAAGGAACCACCATAACATGAAAGGAACAGAAGAAAGGAAGAAGCCTTATCTCCTTGAATAAGGACCTCAAATACACAACCACCATAGCATGAAAGAAACAGAAGAAAGGAAGAAGCCTTATCTCCTTGAATCAGGAGGTCTTCTGGGAACGCGCTATAAGGGGTTAAGCTAAACTAGCCAATCAATATGGTCAACATCATTTGACACTCAAATTTAAGCAAAATGCAATGCACATGTTATAGACAATAATTCAGCTTACAATTCTCAAAATATTAGAAGTGAAAGGTTCTAATTTGATCAAAAGAGTATAGGGAAAGTAGGCATGGACAACATCTACCAGACACAATGCATCGAAATATAAAATGATAAAACATTTAATTGCAATATTAGATAATTAAAATCAATGTTTAAAAACTCGGCCAAGTCAACTCAAACTCGGTCGAGTTACTCAGCCTTAGCAGGGGCCGATGCCGAGACAAGTAGGAATGAACAAAATCGAAGCTGAGGCAAACATGTACAGTAATTGGGTGAATACTATAAGAACTTACATGAGTATTGTGAACTCTCAGGCGAGTCATTAAAAGATGCCCAAGTACTGTACACTATTACTCAAAATAAAAGAGGGGCAGAAATATAGCCTCCATTTTTCCATATTCTTGAGTGTTGGAGCCTCAAACACTATATCTATATATTAGAAGCATTAGATTTGAGCGAAAACACCAGATTTCTCGCATCTTGCAGATCAAAGAATTTAGGAACTTTTTTGCCCAATTTTGAAGAACTTTATTTCTTCCAATCCAATGGTTGATCTTTGATGGAAATTGAACCTAGGCCTATCTTTGTATTCTTCATTCAACAATAGGCTAGTTCTTCCACAAACAAAAAAAAAGTTAGATTTTAATTTTGGATTTTCTATTAATCCAATATTTTGAAAGGAATGGATCTCCTAGATCCCAAGTCAGAAGCCAAAATTTGTCTGGGGTTTTGATTGGGCTTCACAAGGAAGCTTTGAAAAGGATTCGAAGCCTCGATCCACATTGAGTGCAAAGATCAAGAAACGAGGCTTGGAATTTCCAGTAAATTTTATTTTTTTAATTAAAACCATAAAGTTGATGTAACTTTAGTATTATCGATCATTCTAGAATTACTTGCAATGTTCTTGCAATTTCTTGCATTTTTTTGTTACATTTTATTGGAAAACGTATATTGGTTAGACTTTTTCACAAATTTTGTATATACAATTTTTTGTATAATTTATCCATTATTCATATAAATTATGCTTGATTCTATTAATTTTTCAATGAACTACAATTTTTCTCAATGTTTTGGATTTTTTTGCCCTTTTCTTTAATTTTTCCTGTGCCCTTTTTGAACTAGGCCAGTCCACTTGGACTTGCCCAAGTATCTCAGCAAAGGCAGAGACTAGGTCCGGAGCTTGAGAAAGTTTTTGCACGCTGATCAAACACATTAGGATATGCCGCTTCTGAAAAAAGATGGCCATGCCCTACTTCTATCTCCCCTGCAGTATCTCTTAATCTCTTGTTATCTCCTCCTATCTCTTACTCCTTTCTGACGGTACCTTCCGTCCTTCCCACCCATTCCTGACCCTATTGACCTGATGGCCAGATGATGCGGAAGATAGATGTTCTTCACTTCTAAGAGACCACCCTCTTCTCCCTGCCGCCTCTCTTGGCATACATCCCGGCTGAGTTCATCTGCTGCTGCTAAGGAGTGTGGCCACTCATCAACAAGTGACATCCCACATCAAAGTCACAGCCTACAGTTCCAAATTGCCTAAAGCCCTTTGCTCGACCATTCAAGGACTCTCATTGCACCTTACCCAACAACAGGTCAATGCACACTGATCAAACGAATGCATTAAGAACCTAGCAATTTGAACAGAAGCCTTCATCTCTGGCTTCACTTTTGGTTTTAGGACTTTGTATACTTTGTAATTATTTTTTATTATGTTGTATCCTCCCTCTCCCATCTTCTGTCTCCCCCCCCCCCCCCCACCACCACCATCTTTGTCAACCTCTTTTTTCAGTTTTATACTCCATATATTCTTTGTGAATCTGAGCACCCAGATTGTGGGATGCCGTCAGTAGATTAATCATTTTATAACCCCTTTACTATTTATACAAAGTTAACACTTCTCAGAAAAAGCTGAAGCTCGAACCACACTAATACTAATCCAGCAATGGATTTGTTTAAAGTCGGAAAGGCAGAAAATTGAAAAGAACAACAACTTTCATCTTTCAAGCTTAAGGGAAGAGAAAATAGCTTAACATTCCTTAACTTGTGAGAGAAGAAAATCTAAGAATCACATTGCTTCTTTGTAAATGAAAAAATCCATGAAAAATCATCCTAATCAGACCCCAGTTATGCTGTCCAAAACGCAGCAGAAAAACAAAAGAAAATCCACAAATCCCATCATATATGCTCATTAGCAAAGAAGTTGAATCCATATCATCAGATTCCAGACCTAGAAAGTCAACATCAGCGCATATCCAAACTCTGAATAAGACCAAAGAAAACTAAATTTAAGCCATTAGTAATTTAAAAAAAAAAAAGACCACTGCAAGAATCAAATGAAAAACATCATAAAAACATAACAACAAATACATAGAAAAAATAAAAAGCCTACAACAAGGCTACTGAAAGAAGAATAAGAGCCATTCATCTATACATATGATGATATAAATTACCAACATTTTTGCAGAGAACGTCAGAAACAACAAGTGGTCAAAACAGATTCGAGCATTGAATGAGAATATCAAGAACCCAAACACGCACCCATCGCATTGTTCTCTCCTTGATGTTGTCCACATTTCAAAAGGAAAACTTTACAAACAAATGGGAAGAGATAGAGAGAAAGAGACCTGTTGGCGACCAGAGCACCAAAGCAAAAGCAGGAGATGCAAAAGAGTGTAAGCCATTTGGTGGGAGTCCCATTTGCTTGCCTCTGGTGATGCCTGTTAACCGGCATCAACCCCATGAAACTCTGCTTTCCAAATAATTATATCAGGAGGGCCTGCTCATTCTTTTCGGACCTTTAATGGAGAAGTAGCAGGCAGTAGAGTGAGAAAGCCAAAATGCTGAGAGAGGGATGGAATGCGGTGTTCAAATGGGGCGCATCATTGAAAACGAGGGACACTGATTCAGACAGCTAACGGGACCCTTTCTAGCAATGTCGTGTAGAAATATGCCGAAATTACCCCTCCTATCTACAGAGAATTTGCTGTGAATGCCCTCCTACATTTGAATTAATTTGGGTGTGGTTTCTACAAGGTGCTCACCTTATACTGTTTTGAGTAAGGCACACATTTAAATTTCGTTGAAAGGTGAAGTTTTGGTGTTGAAAATTCATGATTAGCCTTAATTATAAAATTTAAGATTTAAAAAATATTGCAGATCAAGATAACCCATTTATAAATAGTTACGACAGGGCGTTTACACTTTAGAGCATTTTGTAATTGTACTTAACAAATTTTAGACACTTATATTTCATTTATTTTATAATACAATATTTTTTAGTAAAAGTATTTTTTGTCATTAGGAGATGTGTGATATCATCTTGAAGGGTGTGAGATATATGAAGCATTAAATACCACTAGTGTGCTTCATGTGGGTGATGTTACACCACTTCTAATGACCAAAAATATTATTGCTAAAAAAATTGTATTACAAAACAATAATATATAAATATCAAAAACTTGTTGAATACAATTATAAAAGGGATTGTAATTGAAAATAGACAATCAATTTAACTTATTACAAGATGCAGTATTTTTTACGCCTTGAAATTTATTTCTCTTTTATATCTATACATCTAAAGATTAAGATGATCAATTAGAAGGTTTTCCAGCTTAAGAAACACTCTTTTGTATTGGATTTTTGATGTGCACCTTACTTCTATAATAAAAAGTCGCAACCTTGTATGAACTTCTTCCATTAATTTTTACTAGTTCTCCTAATTTCGAAAGCTGCAAAGAAATTAATCAAATCCCATAGCTTCCTATTCACTTCTACATTTTCTTAAAAATTTCAAGTTGGCTTCTTAGTAGTGGTTTACCAAATCATTTGAGCTTTTTTATACGATACTTGATGCTTTCTTATTCAAAATGGGAGGATGAATACTCTTAGGTGACAATATTTTTTCATAAACTAAGTTGTGTGACTTCCATATCCAAACCATTAATTATTTTATTGCCAATAAGGTGGAAACCTAAAAGGAATAAACAAATAGGCATTTTATAATTATACTAAACAAATGCTTGAAGCTTACATACCCTTGTTTTATAATGTAATATTTTTTAGTAAAGGTATTTTTGATTATTAGGAGTGTGACATCATCCACCCCCTAATATAAGCCTAAGCAAATCAAAAATATATACCAATTGCTGTGAACGATATTTTATTCCTTAAATTCAATTCTTTCAGGAGAGAGAAGTATTAAATGATGAGTAGTAGCTCCCACCACAATCCAATATCGAGTAGATGTTAAAATGCATAGCGAATACAAATTAAACCTAGGCAATTGATTGTCAATCTGAATAGGAATTAGTCGGAACCAAATCCGTTCTAGAATAGTATGGGCTTCAGGCTGGTGCCCCTCTAAAACCTCTTCTTTTGTATGTATTTTTTATTTTCTTTAAATTTATCTAATATTTTTTTAAGTCCACTTAAATCCTTAAACTCCTATTTTTAATTTTTATTTTATTTTATTTATTTATTAATATTTTTCTAGATCGCCAATTTGGATTGCCGGTTTAACACGAACATATGGGGTGAATGCTTTGTCCCACTTATTTGAGTACTGAAATATTGTTATACTCAATTGAGTTTCGGTTCCACACCGTAATCACCACGTTGTAGTTTTTATTCCTGTCACTACCACCACCTTACTAATACCTTCAAAAAGTTAACTCTTAATCTACTTATAAAAACGGCTTCAACAGGCTAACTCCTAATCTACTTATAAAAACGACTTCAACAAGCTATCTCTTAATCTAGTTATAAAAATGGGTAGGGGCCAATCTTCCCCACTGAATTATCATTTTTTTTTTTTGAGCTTTAAAACAATTAAGGTTTTCATGAAGATTTTCTTTCATTACATGAGTGGGGGGCAAGTTGGGAAGTTTAGTTGAGATGTAAGTAAAATAAGAAAGAAATGAGAACTTTATTGGACTAGGTAAAACAACAAAATAATGCAGAGATTTGAAGCTTTGTTGTAATATTATTGGATAGCAAATTCTTATGGAAAATTAATGTAATCCACCGAACATTTAGATAACATTAAAAAACAAAGGCATTGGTGGGCGTATCTGCCACAATAAAGAGAAAACAAAAGCGTTGTTGTTCACGAGATTGAGGTTAAATGTCGAATCGCATGGGTCACATCGTATTGCACTTATGAGCCTCGGGTCCAAATATCAACTTAAATATGGAAGAAAGTTTCCATTGCTCTATAAAAAATAAAGCTTCATCTCAAATCTTCATCTAAAAAACACTTTCAGCATCAGAAATACTCTAAAATTAATTTTTAACATTGACAATAAAGTTTGAAACTAAAAAAATATTACATATCTTGCGGATATGTGAACACTTATTTGTAAGGCGAAATAGATGGTCTAGATTACTTGTTGCAATATACACTATTTTTTTAATTTGAATTCATAATTATTTTGCTTAACTATAATGTTCAAGCTGAGATTATCAATTTAAAGGTTTTTCAACACTTGAATTGTAATTTTTAGTGAAAAGATAATTGTTTTGATGAGGTGACGATTTACTTATTTTGATAGGACTGCAACCTATCAAACCATTGTCCTTTAAATATTACAATAATTAAAGGAGATGATTTCATTCGCCAAAGCGGGGTTTCAAAATTCAGAATCAAGCCTTGGCTCCCTAAGTCTAATTTCAACTCACCCACCCTGCTTGGGCGATTCTTGTATGAAGCTAGCTACATTTAATGACGAAATTGAGGAATTTAATGCTCATGTTTCCTAGTTTTCAGGCGATTCCCTAGTTGAATCTGATTGTGTTTAACAAAGAAAGTAGGGAATTTTACATTCATGGTCTCTAATTTTCTTTTATTTCAAAATCATCCAAAATAACTCTATATTATGTAGCTTTTAGATTTTTCCATTTAATGTACCTCAACTTAGGACTTTCAATATCTGAAGGTATGACTCATATGATAAGTTGTGATCAAATAAGTTTTCTCTGAATTGTGACTTACGACCTTTAATATCATAAGTAATCTATTGGTTCCAAATCTTGAAGGTCCAAACTCGAAACTTATGTTAATCTTTGTTCATAACCTTGAAGCCAAAGACTCCAAAAAGTTGGAAGTCTCTCTTAGAAATAACTGCCATAGACAAGATTTTCCCTTTGAGGTCTTTAGAAGCATGGAGCCAAGAAATAACTACGGATCTTGAAATTCTTAGGTCATTATTTTAAAAAAATCAATTTTGGATCTTCTAGATTCTAAGTAATTACATAAGTTATGACTTTAAATTATGATCATCTAAAGTGAGGGAATTTTGGAAAGATAAAACAACTAAAAAATCAGGGATGATTATAAAATACAACCTTTTAGGAGATTTTTTAATAACAAAAATTTGGAAGACTTGAGTGCAATTTTTGCAAGAAAGTACAAGCAGACTAGAAAGCTCGAAGAATCAGACAATTACAAGATTTGTTGCACCAAAATCCCTTATTCTGATCTAGAACCAACATGGGCGAATCCCAGTTAAATCGGCCGTTTTCGAGTGGCTTATTTTTGTAGCAACACTTCGAACCTTAAAAAATTCAAACAGATGGGGGAAATTGGTTGTAACCCGCTTTCTTTTCATTTAGTAGAAATTGAACCCTTTATCCTTTTCATCAAATTAAGAACTCCACTTAGAGTTGCTTCAATAGCTATTCATCGACTCTTTCAAAAGGAAAATTGTTTCTTGAGTGAGCTGGCGTAAGAGCCAGCTAACCTATAAACGTCCATCCTAAAGATGGACGTATCTAAAGTATATTGTCCATAAATAAGATATAGATTATATACATAACAAAATACTCAAAAATTATATTTTTTATTTTAAAGGTTTATTTTTCTTTCACATTTATGAACATCTTGGACTAGATAATGAATCTACAAAAAAAAAAAATCTAAAATAAATTTTAGTGTGGAGTTGCATATGTACATATGAGTCAACGGACTCATAAAAACCCCATTCTTTTTAAAATGCCCAAAATAAAGAAATTGTATACAATGACACCGATTTACCTTTAATACGAGGTAGTCACAGTTCTTTATAATCACTTGATGTGAAATCCTTACACCCATTTGATGTGAAATACGAGGTAGTCACAGTTCTTTATAATCACTTGATGTGAAATCCATACACCCATTTGATGAGAAATTTGATTGTTTGGATGTGTCACAAAGTGCTAAATTTCTTTTTTTTGAAATTTGAACTTAATTAATAAAGTAATTGTGGACACCCAATTCCACACCCAATAATTATGATTAATGGATCACTTTATATTAAAGATAAATAATTTCATGCTATATTTCCCCCCTGAAAAATCATTTGATATCGAGAAGTTTCTTTTTCCACCAATAATTCGCGCTCCCTTTGAAAAGGATCAGGGATAGTATTGATTCCAGCTCTTTTTAGTAAAGTGTGTTGGAAAAGGAATATTACTTCTTTTGCCCTAAAACGGCATTTTTCAAAAGTTGTGTCCAAAGATTATCGCGTGCCTGACACATGTGTCAGACCTGTCGGACGGTGGCTTCGCACGGGTTCCATTTGACTCGCTTAATAATTGCATCATACTTAATTTTCCAATGGCAGCTTTCGCTTTCCATTTTTTTCCTGGAAAATTTTTACATTAATTCCTAAGAATGCGTCCAACACTTCTGATTAGTGATTTAAATAACGGATTTTACATTAATTCCTTAGAATGCGTCCAACACTTCTGATTAGTGATTTAAATAACGGATGGTTGACCTAGATCAGCACCCAAATAATCGGTCTGGATCGGCGAATCGGTATTATGGATTGATTTTATATTGTGCAGAATAATATTGAACTGGAAAAAAAATATGTCAAAAAATAAAGATGTGGTTTGTATAGAGCCTAGGCTCTGAACCATCAAGTTAGAACCTACCTTCAAATAGTTTTGAGAAACGTGATTTCAATACTGGAAATCTATGTGATAGCCTTAAAATATATTTTCATCTTTATTTATAAAATTTAGAGCTTCAAAAACAATGTAGATCGACAGATGTATGAGAACTTGAAACTCTTGAAAATTGACGATCCAAAAGTGCGTTACAAAATACATTATTTCCAAAACTTGAAATCCATGCATCTTGATGTCGAGATGATCAATTTGAGGATATTTGGGCATCAAAACAACTTCTTCTAGTGAAAATTGTTTAGAGCATCGACTCTATATAAACTTGTCAAAAAACCGGTCTAGATCGTTATTTTATTGTGTGGAAAAAATAGTGAACCGGCAAAAAAATATCTGAAAAATAGTGAATTGCCAAAACCTGGTCTGGATAAGTGAATTTGCAGTTCATATCGTAGTTTTACTGTGCATGCCATCGTCTCCCTTTTAGACTTAACGGTTTTCTTATATATACATAGGAACTAGAACGAGGTGACCGATTCTCAAGTTGCACCGAGCAATTATGTGTAGACTCAACGTTTTTTAAATCATTGCTTGTGTTTATTAGATAAATGCATTCCACAATTTGTGAAGTTTGAAATTTTTATTTTCAACCTCTAATTGTTAAATTTGAAATTTAAAAAAAAGTAAAGATCGGGTTGATCTATAAACACTCATATTTTTTATAAAATAGATGGTCCAGATAATTTGTTATAAGATGCATTATTTTCCCGACCTCTTTCTATATGGTTGAGATCATCGAATTGGAGGCTTTCCCAATGTTAGAATACTCTTCTTCTATAAGTCCACGTTAAATTTGTCCATATTTTATTAGAATCAATACGTTAACATAGAGATAGTGGTCATATACGAGTATCATCTTCGTCCAAAAGAATGTAGGACTGTGGTGCGAAGAGAATGCCCACCACTTTTGATAGCATATCATTTGGTGGGTTCCATTCTCTCTCTCCCCCTGTTTTTTTTTTTTTAAAACGATCACACCTATCATATGAGCCTAAATTTTTAGCTTTTTCATGAAATCCTAGGTCACGATGGCCGAATAACTCCACTTATTTAAAATCAATCTTTCTTTTCACGACCACCTTCCCTCAAAAGGACAAATCACCAATTAAAACAGAGAGTTTGATAAAATTTGTTATTGTTTTGACCCTGTTCAAATAAATGACACACTCAAACAATTGAAGTGCTGCCGAATTTTGTGTAAAAAAAAAGAAAATATTATTCAAATTCCTAGATATCAAAAAAAAAAAAAATCATACAGATCCCTAAAAAAATTTATTTGGAAGTGATCTAATGCAACCGTTATATTATAGTATAATGAAACGGTGTGATGGTCTAATCCTAGCTGCTAGATTAATTTGAATCCAACGACTGAAATTAACATCTAAATATTTATTTTATGAGTAATGATACTACGAGACCCTCCCACAATCTAAGAGCATGAGACCCCAAACCTTAACCGATAAATTTGATAGGCCCCCAAACAACAGACATGATACCTGGTGACCAGGTAAAAGACACGCTCCAAGAGGGAAAACCCCAAGCACACGCTCCAAGAGGGAAAGAGCCTTTAATATCCCAAATCCCTATCTTCTTTTCCTCTCTCCACCTGCCATCGTTTTTTTGCTCCCTCTCCATAGCTGTCCTTGCTCTAACCCTATCTCCCCACCCGCCATAACCGCATGTCTCTCTTAAACCTCTCATTGCATGCTTCTCTCTCTAACAAGGTAGTTTTTTCTCTCTTTCCCATTATCACTCTCTCTAATTTGCAGCAGGAGAGAGAAGAAAGTGGTGGCACAATAAATAGAGAGAGAAAAGGAGACAAAAAAGGAGAGAGAAGGGGCATTGAGAGATATGGAATCAAAGGAGGTTAGGAAATGCAAAGACAACCATGGGAAGAGAGAAATCTGGTGGCTAAAAGAGAAGAGAGATAGATATCTGGGCTGCAACGTGTTCTTTGCTGGTCAGCCCCTCTGATTCTTCCTCTTTCTTGCATTTGCTCCTTGTTGGGTTGTTTTAGTTCTTTTCTATGTTACGGGCTATTGTGTCATTGCTCCCACTTAGTCTTCTTTTGAGTTAGAAAATCTCTGGTGTGTGAGGAAGGACGAGCAGGGGGCTATGAGCTATTGGACTCATTCTCTCTTAATGTTTCTTCCTTCCTATGCATGCACATGCTCTATCCTCCCCAATCTAGAATCCTCTCTCTTGATCTTAATCAATGAAAAATTAGAGTGAATCATTGGATATTCAATTTTAGAGAGAGAGAGATGTGTAAACTGATGTGACGAATTAGTACAGGTGAAGAAATGGGTGCGTTTTGAAGAGAGAAGAAGAGTTGCAAAAGAGGAGACTGAAGTTGGAAAGCCAATCACATGCCTAGATTCAAACCCTAGAATCATAGAAAGCAAGTGGAAAAGCTTAAAGGGTAGAAGGTTGAGTTTTTCTAGGCCAGATAGAGGATTGGAGCACATGCAACCAGGCTCTCATGCCCATTATTCTAGACCAAAATTCACAATCTTAGAAAGACATGAAGAGAAAACATTTCATTTGCCTTAAATGAGATACAAAAAGATAGCAAAGCATATACAACAGAGGAAAGAGAAGATTCAAAATATGAGTTTTTTATGTACAAACTCACCCATTGAGAGAGAGAGAGAGAGAGAGAGAGAGAGAGAGAGACATATTCTTAAATGGTTACCATTTAACTAGTTAGAAGATCAAAACCCAATTTAATGGAGCTTAGAGGAGACAGAAAATTGGGGCGAGAAATTGGCTTGCTCATGGCTGATAGAAATTAGAGCCGACGGTGGCTAGTGGAAACTAGATACGAAGAGTGGGATTGGGAAATGTGAGAGAGAGAGAAATCAAGAGGTTTTCTATTTTTTTGATTTCTGTGCATCACCGGTTGACAAGATCACTAGGTAACATTCTTATTAACTTGACAACCCATTTATGCCAAAACTCTCGTCATTTCTGTGAGCGACAAATCTCTCGCCCACTCCAATCCCTGAACTTTCTCCCTCTCTCTGTTAGCGCCAAAACTCTCGCCCTCTCTTATTGAGCGCCATTAAAACTTGTTTGAGGCAAAGAAGAAGAAGCTTTATGCCATTAAAACTTGTTTTGAGGAAATGGAGAAAAAGCTTTGTGAGAGCTTGCAGAAAAAGGCAACGCAAAGGTACTCATTGTGATAGATCGAAGTTGGGTTTCTTTCTCTTGTGGAGAAGAGCTTCTTTGAAAACATGTTGGGCTAGTTTGTGAAAGATAGCGAATGATTCAAGATCGAAAGCAACTGCAAAGGATCTAAGGTAAAAAATAATTTCATTCAGAACCTCCAAATCGCCGAATCAATTTGGCTTAAAAACCCAAATCTTGAGGAAGTTCTAAAGCCCCTATTTTTTTTGATTTTATGTATGCCATTCATCTTTTTTTGTTTTTTTCTCTCAGCCCTCTCTCACTCACACGGATTCTCTTTCTAAACTGCCAATCTTTTGGGATCGCCCTCTCTCAGCTCCCTCTCTTGCTCACTTTCTCACTCTAGGACCTCTTCGTCTCTCTCTCTTTTCATTTTAGGGTTGGGGATCAAGCTGAATTATCATTTTAGGTAATGGTGTAATGTTTTTTGGTGCTTGTTTGGTATGGGCTTTGTCTTTGGATAGGCGTTAAGTCTTTTTTGTGATATTTTGAAATTCATATTTGAATTGTGCAATTTTTAATGTTCTCATGTATGTGGTTGACTTTCATACAATTCATCTAGAAAGATGAAAAAGAGAATGTAGCTTTTCTATTTAATGTAGCTTTTATATTTTTTTAAAAAATTAATTATTAGTTTAGGTTCTTTTTTTTTTCATGGAAATTTCCATATTTACCTTTCTTTACCAAAACTTGTTCAATTTCTGAGTAGGATTGTTTTAATCTTAATTTTTTCCATTCTTTTCTAAAACTTTCAACTTAAAGTTGAAGTGTGATGGTTTTCATCTGGCTTATGTTATCTCTCTAAAATGTAGAGGTTATGTGGCGTGAAAGGAAAGTATATATTATCTATTAGGTTAATATGGAAGGTACATATTGTAATCAGTGTATATGGGAAGGGTAGATACAATATCTTGTATTTATGGTAAATTTGGTTATACTTTAGGTGTTATATTGTAATTTGTCTATAAAGATAAGTCTGTATGTTCATATGATTAATGGACACTGAGTTTCTTCAGAGAAACCTGAGACTTTTCATATGGTATCAGAGCCAGATTCATCTTCGTTGTGTCCATTCTGGTGATTGAGTATGTCAATATGTTATTACTCCCGATTCAACCCATCTGAAAATCGGCGCCTCTATTTATTTTTGCCTTTGGATCTTGATCTCAGGGTCCAGATTCGTTTGAAATCTCACCCTACCATTCTAATCCGATATTGTCATTGACCATCTGAAAACTTTATGAAAAACCAAGCACATGCCTAGATTCAAACCCTAGAATCATGCTTAGATTCAAACCCTAGAATCATAGAAAGCAAGTGGAAAAGCTTAAAGTTTAGAAGGTTGAGTTTTTCTAGGCCAGTTAGAGGGTTGGAGCACATGTGACCAGGCTTTCATGCCCATTATTCTAGACCAAAATTCACAATCCTAGAAAGACATGAAGAGAAAACATTTCATTTGCCTTAAAGGAGACACAAAAAGATAGCAAAGCATAAACAACAGAGGAAAGAGAAGATTCAAAATATAAGTTTTTTATGCACAAACTCACCCATTTAGAGAGAGAGAGAGAGAGAAAGAGAGAGAGAGAGATTCTTAAATGGTTACCATTTAACTAGTTAGAAGATCAAAACCCAATTTAATGGAGCTTAGAGGAGATAGAAAATTGGGGCGAGAAATTGGCTTGCTCATGGCTGATAGAAATTAGAGACGACGGTGGCTAGTAGAAACTAGAGACGAAGAGTGGGATTGGGAAATGTGTGAGAGAAAGAGAAATTAAGAGGTTTTCTATTTTTTTGATTTTTGTGCATCACCAGTTGACAGGATCACTAGGTAACATTCTTATTAACTTGACAGCCCATTGATGCCAAAACTCTTGTCATTTCTGTGAGCACCAAATCTCTCGCCCACTCCAATCCCTGAACTTTCTCCCTCTCTCTGTTAGCTCCAAAACTCTCGCCCTCTCTTGTTGAGCGCCATGAAAACTTGTTTGAGGCAAAGGAGAAGAAGCTTTGTGCCATTAAAACTTGTTTTGAGGAAATGGAGAAAAAGCTTTGTGAGAGCTTGCAGGAAAAGGCAACGCAAAGGTACTCTTATTGTGATAGATCGAAGTTGGGTTTCTTTCTCTTGTGGAGAAGAGCTTCTTTGAAAACATGTTGGGCTAGTTTGTGAAAGATAGCGAATGATCCAAGATCGAAAGCAACTGCAAAGGATCTAAGGTAAAAAATAATTTCATTCAGAAGCCCCAAATCGCCGAATCAATTTTGCTTAAAAACCTAAATCTTGAGGAAGTTCTAAAACCCCTATTTTTTTTGCTTTCATGTATGCCATTCATGTTTTTTTGTTTTTTTTCTCAGCCCGCTCTATCTCTCTCACTCGGATTCTCTTTCTAAACTGCCAATCTTTTGGGATCGCCCTCTCTCAGCTCCCTCTCTTGCTCACTTTCTACTCTTGGACCTATCCGTCTCTCTCTCTTTTCATTTTAGGGTTGGGATCAAGCTGAATTATCATTTTAGGTAATGGTGTAATGTTTTTTGGTGCTTGTTTGGTATGGGCTTTGACTTTGGATGGGCAAAAGGTTAAGTCTTTTTTGTGATATTTTGAAATTCATATTTGAATTGTGCAATTTTTAATGTTCTCATGCATGTTTCTCATGTCTGTGGTTGACTTTTATACAATTCATCTAGAACGATGAAAAAGAGAATGTAGCTTTTCTATTAAATGTAGCTTTTATATTTTTTTTAAAAATTAATTATTAGTTTAGGTTCGTTTTTTTTTTCATGGAAATTTCCATATTTACCTTTCTCTACCAAAACTTGTTCAATTTCTGAGTAGGATTGTTTTATGGAAATTTTAATTTTTTCCATTCTTTACTAAAACTTTCAACTTAAAGTTGAAGTGTGATGATTTTCATCTGGCTTATGTTATCTCTCCAAAATGTAGAGGTTATGTAGTGTGAGAGGAAAGTATATATTATCTACTAGGTTAATATGGAAGGTACATATTGTAATCAGCGTATATGGGAAGAGTCGATACAATATCTTGTATTTATGGCAAATTTGGGTATATTTTAGGTGTTATATTGTAATTTGTCTATAAAAGACAAGTCTGTATGTTCATATGATTAATGGACACTGAGTCTCTTCAGAGAAAGCTAAGACTTTTCATATGGTATCAGGGCCAGATTCATCTTCGTTGTGCACATTCTTGTGATTGAGTATGTCAACATGTTAGTACTCCTGATTCAACTCATCTGAAAATCCGCCCCTTCGTCTGTTTTTGCCTTTGGATCTTGATCTCAGGGTCCAGATTCGTTTGAAATCTCACCCTGCCACTCTGATCCGATATTGTCATTGACCATCCGAAAACTTTTTGAAAAACCAGCCCCTCCCCCCCATTGCTTTCTGTGCTTGTTTATCAAGCAATCTGAGCATAACAACCATTGCTTCTACTGGTCACTCTATGCACTTGATGATTCAACTTCTCGTTTATGCAATTAGGGTTCAAACTCTAACTACTCTCTCTCATAGCATCTTGAGTTTGAGGGGGAGTGTGAAAAGAAAATATATATTGTCTACTAGATTAATATGGAAGGTGCATATTGTAATCAATGTATGTGGGAAGGGTAGATATAATATCTTGTATTTATGGTAAGTTTGGGTATAGTTTAGGTGTTATGGTTGATTTATATATTTTCTCATCTGTAATTTGTCTGTAAAAGATAAGCCTATCTAGTCATATGATTCATGGACATTGAGTCTCTTCAGAGAAACCTGAGACTTTTCACATGCGGCGTGGGCATTGATGCAAGAAGAAATAAAATTAGAACAATAAAAATAAAAAAAGAAAAGAGTTGAAAAAATATATCATCTTTCAAGGTTTGCAAAGGAATCTATCCAAATAACGATCTTTTTACAAGACTAAATTTACTCAATTCTCATTCCCTGATTACAATGAAGGGACATCTCCCTTTAAATAGACTATAGTAAAAATATAAATAATTAACTAAAAAGACCCACAAAAAAGAAAAGTACTCTCCTTCTCTCTCTCTCTCTATCTAATTTCACGTGCTAAAAGATTTACTTTCAAAATATAACCCACCTCTATCCTTATCTTCTCTCTCACTTTACCTCACGTGCCAAAAAGATTTGCTTCTATTTGCTTCTAAAAGATAGTCCACATTTTACCTAGTAAAAGTTTGTCATGCCCCAAGTTTTTAACACTACAATTCTTAAGATGTGACAGTTTATTATTAAAAAACACAACAAATTCTAAATTTTTACTATATATTATATTTCGGCAAAACAATTTTTCCATTCACAAACTTTTAGACTTGTACAAAGTCTATTTCATAGTTTATAATAACATGAGGATATATATATATATATATATATATATATATATATATATATATATATATA